TACATGTCGAAGAACGGGTAAAACTAAGATGACGAATACAAAAATTACCGTGGGTTTAGCCACCTTGTAACTCGCTTTTACTGTGAAGAAGATGGGAGAAAAAATGAGATATATTTCGTAAGGATCCCAAATTAACAAGAGTAAAGTAGAAAATGATTAGATTGTAACTATTGTAAATCATTATAGGGAATAAAAAAAAATACGTATCAAAAAGGTTACTCAAAACGGCTGGATCATTATTTTCTACGGACATAAATATCACTTTTTTTGTTTACTTGATTTGGTAAACAAAATAACTAACGGTAATTACATAGTAACACATTAAATGACTGATTATAGAAAATTTGTTTGGTGATCGTGATCGATCAGACCATCATTCCCTACACAAGAGGTTTATTATCTGACTATCACTAGCTCCAAAATCAGTTTCTCCTACTAAATATTAGTACAGAGTTTGAAGTGTGTTATTTTATGGTATATATATACGTGAAAACTTTGATATATGTTCTAAACATAGGTTAGTAGATTAATGATTTTACATCAGAGTTAAATCCATATCACACTTGCAAATAATAGATGTAAACTTCCAAATAATGGTTGCATGTTAAATCATGATACATATTTAACTTGTTCTAGATTACTAACTACTATCATGTAATATAGTTAAGGAAAGTTTTCTAGTACACATGATGGTAGCTGTTAAATGTAGAACATTTAATAGTGGAGCATGAAACTTGTGATACCTAGTAGAAGAGAAGCGACCACCCATATATACTAAAGGATGCCTTTAATAATTCGGAATACAATGCATTAGGTGAAACAAAATAAATTAGGCGTGAATCAAACCAATAAAATGAAGCGACTTGTACTACTCGCCAATTTCTCTTTTCCATCTACCGTTTACATGAAATATTTGAAGCTGTGAAGTATTTTATATTGGTTTCATACAACAAATTTTTTATGGGTTAAATCAAAAACCTCGGAAGTCTGTTTATGTCTAGATACATTATTTTTTTTGTTAAAGTTATGTCTAGATATATATAAATACTACTGTCAACAGAAATTATAATACTATAAAATATGTCTAGCTTTGCTTTGAAAATTGGATTTCGTGATTTGTTTTCTGGTGTTTGATGTTTGACTATTACTTGAGACAACAAAAATAGTACTATGACACTGGTTTTGGACATAAGCTAAGTATGTACCTACTGACTACTGTTATACATGCACGTTGATCTATGATTAAA